ATTTATTGAAATTAAATATGCCAAAATGGCCTGTTTGCCTTCTATAAAAAAATGACTGGAACTGAGGACAAAAGGAGGAGTACAGATGACAATGACTTGTTGTCAACTTGTCAATGACAAGTTCAAGCAAAACTTTCAAAAGCTTTCAACATGTCAAACAGTATTCTCACATCCAAGTTCAGATCCTATGGTCTGTCCATTTACTGAATGAGTAAAATCTAAAAAATTCAGAGAGCAGCAGTTATGTTAAGTGACTAATATGTTTATGTATGGGTRACTGTTAAATGGAGTACCATAGGGGTCTATCCTGAGACCTGTCCTACATAGCAGCTTTGTTAGGGACCTGGAAGCAGTGACCAAGTGCATGCTCAAGTTTGCATGTGACACCAACTTAGGTGAACAGTTAATATGCTTGATGATTGCCATTCAGTGGAACTGGGACTTAAACACACTGGAGGAATGGACTGAGAAGAACTATATGAAATTCAACAGAACATGCAAAGTCTTGCTCTCAGAAATGGATCTTTAAGTGGTAATGGCTGTGGACTAGCCCTGTAGAAAAGGATCTTGGGCTCTTGGTGAGTCAGAAATGGCAGCAAAGAAAACCAACAGTATTCTTGCCTGCACTGACAGTAACACAGTCCGTAGTTTGAAGAATGTGATAATCTCTCTCTAGTCAGAGAATTTAGACACTTTAGAATACAGCACCCAGTTTGGAGCCTCACAAAGCAGAAAAGACACTGATAAACTGAAGCAAGTGAACATCAAGAAGGGCAATCAAAATGGTCAGAGGACTGCTACATATACTCTGTGAGCAATCAGCTTGCTCAGCTTGGAGAAAAGGGTACGTAGAGGTAGACAGACAAATTCTACCAGTGCAGGCGGAGGTTCCAGGAGAGCTGGTTGACATTTCAAATATCACCTCCATTCAGTTCAAGAACTGTCCAGCCCAATCAAAAAAAAAAAAAAATCAAGCAAAGGCAGCAGGAGGCCTGTATGAGTGAAGGAAGCTACAAACAACCTCAAACATATGAAAGATGAAAGCAGGAAGAGATGACCTGGGAGAAACAGACAGATACTGTCCAAATGCACAGGTATCAGGTTAGGAAAGTCAAAGCTTTCTGGAGCTGAATCTAGCAAGGGACAAGAGCTTCTATAAACACACAAGTAACAAAAACAAAACTAATGGGCCTGCCACTGAATGGGGCTTAGGACTGTGTAATAAAGGACATGAAAACGGYCAAGATACTCAGTGCCTTCTTCATTTCAGCCTTTATTGGCAAGACTAGCCTTCAGGAATCCCAGGTCCCTGAGAACAGAGGGAAAGCATGGAGCAAGGAAGACTTGCCTTCTGTTGAGGGACATCAGGCTAGGCTACAATTTACATGCAGAAATCCATGATTTGTAKAAGATTTGTACATCCTGATGGGATGCATTCATAAGTCCTAAGGAAGCTGGCTGGTGTCAGCCCAAGGCCATTTCCGATCATCTTTGAAAGGTCCTGAAAGGATCTAGGGGACTGGGAGAAAGCCAAAAATCACTTTTATTTTCCAGAACGGCAAGACAAAGGATCTGGGGAAATAGAGGTAAATCCTGATCCCTCAAAAGGTAATGGAATAACTCATTCTGGGATTCGCTTCCAGGCACGAGGACAAGGAGATTGTAAATAGTCAACACAGAGGCCCCTTACAACCCCAGCTATTGTGTGATTCTGTAAACACCTGCAAGGAGAAAATTCAGAAGATGGAGCCAGGCTCCTCGCAGTGGTGCTTGATGGGAGAACAAGAGAGGTCTCAATTGGATACAAAGAAAACGTTACTATGAGAACATGAAAGCAGTGGAACAGGTTGCTCAGAAGAGACTCTGCAGTCTCCATCCTTGGAGGTTTTCAAGACTCAGAGATTGGGCCTCCGGTAATGTAGTCTGACCTTGTAACTAACATTGCTTTGAGCAGGATGTTTGACTTGAGACTTCCTGAGATCCCTTCCAGCCTGAACTATTCTATGATCCTAAATTCAGAGTGCTACATATGCTGCTTTGCACATGCACATACCTCATGTTAAACTTCAGTATGCAAGACTAAGGCTGTGTGAATGAATCCCAAACATCCAGCCCAAGACCACATCATGTCTCTATCTTTCACATCGGTACTATATCTTCATATGTAATCACAGCTTCACAAAGGCAAAACATAAGAGAAATGACATTTCCCCTGTCGGTGAATGCTCAATGCATTAATCCACATGAATACTCGAGGCAAGCTATATAACTCCTAAAAGTCCCTATGAACTATTGCTCATAGGTCTGACATGAAGACCCACTCCAAAGCGTCCCACTGGCTCCTTCATGCTTAGATTGCTACTAGTGTCAGCTGTGCAATAGTGGCACCTAGTGGTTAGTGCTTACAGCGAAGTCAGAGACCAATTCGGGCCGGGGGGAGTACCACAGAACTAACAAGGGCAGCCTTCAAATGGACAAATGACTTTCCATTACTTGGTTTTAAATCATATATAGATTTTGCAAACTTGGCAGAAATGCCATTACAGAAAAGTTCTTTCTGAATGCAAGAAGCCTTAATATTTGCTCTGAAAGAGAAGGACCCAGAATGATGGATGGACGTTTCACTTTTTCATTTATACCATCGGAAGTGTTCAAATCCTAAGGTGTATAATCATCACCCACTTTGGCCGGGTAATATTGGTATGTTTCTTGTCAGGAAACAGGCACAAGAATTAGCTCCCCATTTACTACATAAAGCTTGTCCAAGAAAGTCTAGTAAACCTAAAGCTATTTACAGATTTTAAGAAGTCTTATCCTTAAACTTCAAGGAACACTCATGCTACTGACTCTTGAAATTTCACCTATTTCTTCTTCAAGGCTTACACATCTGTAGGAGCAGGAGAGGCAGACCTCAGATGATTCAACATTCCAGAGAGTTCCAAGTATATTTAATACTCCCTGAATCTACTGAAGTTTGTTGTACCTCTGTAAGTAAACTGGCTTTGAAGCAGAAGTGCATTTTGTGCCACATTTGAGCCAATTTTTCATTTTTGTTAAATTTCCTCTCTATACTACAGCTTGCTACTGGAACTCAACAGAAGCCTTCTCATTCTAAACAGATAAAAACATACTTGGTTGTACTATATCTATTATGTTCAAACTGTTCTTAAAACATACCCCGTCATTGTCCAACATTCTGAATTTTATTTCTAAGTTTTCAAAGCAAAAGACGAAGGAAAGCAGATCAAGGAAAGTCTTTTTAATATGTGTTCCTGGAACATCAATAACTGAGACTTTCAATTATCAAGGAAGCAAACAATCAAAAATACTGTTTTTTTTTTTGCAATACAAGAAATACTGAGACCTGATTTGTACCTTGGCTAACCTCAACCTCAGAGAAACAGCAATGCCACACAGATAGGTTGCACAGTTTGGCTTTAAGTTTCTGAGTAGACTTCTAAAAACTAAGTAACTGAAAACTTTTGTTGTACTATTCCTTTCCTCCTACTTCTTAAGACTACAGTAGCTAAAGAGATTTCCTGTGTAAAACTGCTTCTTCTGGAGTTCATAATAACTGTCAAATCAAAGGCAAGACATACAGACAGTCCCCACTCACATCGCTTATTAAACATTTCAGAGGGAAAAAACATAATGGTTTATTTTTGTTCAACAATGTTGTTCATCAATTTTGTTCATCTAAGCTGTAACATAGTCCTTCAGTCTTTGAAAAACTTCAGCCTACTAGTGAAAACTTAATGGAAGAAAGACAATCGACTGAATGCTGCTTTAACCTACCCTCTGAGCTGCTACATATCAAACAAAACCTATAATAAGAGTACTTTACATCTCATGGTTACAAAACCTCTGTAGTGTCCAGCAACAGATACTACAAACAAAATACAAGTTCATCTGGTTTCTCTGTCGGTGATACAAACAAAAGGACTCAACTAAAGTTACTTACAACTAAACATTTATGTGCAACCTAAGAAATGGGGAAGGGAAGAAGTATTTCTGCCACAAAAAGGATAAACTGCTGCACATAGATATTTTTCCATTTCTTCTTTTTATAACTGTATGCTATAGACGCACTTTAAAMAAAGGAAAAGTATAAATCAAAGGATGTTGGGCCAAAAATTCGTTTCATCACAAAGATAGAGAGCACATCTCTAGCATCCAGGAGATTCAAATGAAAGCACAAAAGAAGCATAAGGAAAAAAAAGTAATCTAAACAATGATTTACTTAGTGCTTATGGTTTGCTTATAACATTTTGTTTTGAGATCCATGTGGATTAAACTCAATTCAAGCTTTAAAAATAAAACCTCTTTAACATTGAGGACAAGACTGCTATAGTTCATTTGCTGAAATTCTCTATAATGCTTAAGCAATGTTCATCTTTCTTTCTGTCCTAAAGCCAATGCCAGCACTTACCATTTGGAATTGCTACATTGTGCTCATGCTTCTCTCTAATTAACGTAACATTTATAAGGCATCCTAAAAAATAACCTCAGGACTCAAAAATATGTCAAATATTCAGTACTCAAAACCCGTAACTTCACAACAGCCCTCCCAAGAAGATTCCTAATGAGGTTAAATAACCCTGCTAATTGTCAGTTTTAATATCAAAGAAAGAAGTGCAACAATGAAGACTTCTTTGCCTAAGTACAGCAAGATTACGAAAAGGTGCCAATTATGAGTAACAAACACATCAGTTCATGTATTTATCTAACCAGGAAACTTTCTGGATGTTCATTTACAATAAGGATTGCAATAAATATAGGCACTGATTTGTTAAACTTTTTTACATTATTTGTTATCTTAAAAGTTTATCCTAATTGATCCTCCAAATATTTATATGTTCTGATAGAAAATTTAAGATGTAGAAATTTACTCTGAAATAATCTGTAAATAAATATTTAGATTTTATTCTCTTTTACACAGACATATGCACTTGGGAAGAAAAAAATTAAATAAAGCTCTCATGACATACAAATTCTATTACCTTGGATCCAAGACTTCACCAACAATTTCTTCCAACTTGTCAATAAAATYAATAAAATTTTTAAGCCCCTTTTCATGGCTTTTTAAAGGATCAAATAATGAAGTTGCATAGCTTTTTCCTCCAAGTTCTACTGTTCGGATAAAAGATGTTGCCATCTACCAACAGAAAAAAAAAATGTTTTGAAATATTAAACAGTAGTCCTATCTAAGACATTCTTATTTTGAAAAAGTGATCCTCTCTCCATGAGCATAGTATGCAAGCTAGCTGACAGCAGAAGTAAACTGAAACCAACAGAATGTCTCTTAATGATAAGATTTTTACATCTTGCCATAAATACTTGCAAGATTAATACTTAGAGTACAGCATACAAAATCCATAAAACAAATGAAAATGAACCAGCTAATTTGATGAGTTGCAAGTAAAAACAATATATCATCCAAAAAGACAGTTAAGGCTCCTATCACCATAGGCAACCAATTCTGAAAGTTTCCATATATTTCGTACATTATTATGACCTTGAAAATAAGAGATTCCCCTAACCCAGAACAAAGCAAAACATTTCAAATTTTAAGGCAGTCAGAATAGTTTCTAGTTTTTTTAGTTTCTCTAGAAAAATGACAACAAAAGTAATAATCCATTATGATTGACATAGACACTGTAATGCCAATTCTACAAATAAATTTTACTTTCAGACTATACAGTTAAATTACAAAGCTCTTAAGGACTGGAAAAAGTACAACTGAGATTACTCTAGCAAAGAAGGTAAGCCTGCACGTATTCCTGTCTTTGTGTTGAAGATTTCCTGTGGATAAAGTATGGTTCATAGGACCTTGCCTTCCCAATGGAAAAATATTTTGGCTTTGCAAGACTCTCCAAGACATGGATGCCAGAAAATAAGATTCCTTTACACAGTAGAGAAGCTTCTCCTTTGGCAACTCTAAGAGGTAAGCAATTTAGTCCAAACACAAGTKTTTTTTTCATTTGTTTGGTTGCTTTTTTTAAACAAACACAACAAAAGCAACTGGAACTTAAATAATTAATCCCGGAATTGAGATTTCACACATTTATTCATATATATAATATATTGATATTATTGACTAAATATGAACATATTTATGAGAATGAGAATTCAAATCTGAGAATGCAGTTGGATTGCTGTCATCTGTTACACACAGCCCACTGTGCATGCAAAATCTGATTCTTTTGAATATCAGAGACTACAATGGTTGAGAAATCACTCATGTAATTCAGATGTTTTTTGAAATAGCATCATGTTCACTATAACTGAATACGAATGCCCCTAACCCCAATCAGATTCTTCCAGCAAGTTTCATTTCAGATACATACCAGAAAAATTGACATTTTTCTCTCTTGGGAGACGTGCTTCAGGTTAGTAAAGGCTTCTCTACCAAGTCCTCTGTCAGGAACATTTAGAACATGAGCCAACGCCAGATCATGCTTAGAATTCACCAACAAGCTTAAATACGAATAAACAAACTTCTTTGCCAAGTGTGCCAGCTGCATAAGAAAGCATCACACTAATTAGTCATCACAATGCTAAATTGTGCTCTATTTTTTAAAAAGCTAATACACACTAATAAGACTTCCAGAAAAGTAAGAATTTCACCTTGCATAATTTCAAAGCAATCCTCTAAGTATGAGCATTCTAGAAGTACTAATTGAAGCAAATATGATGAATGTGCATTAAAATTTACATATACCATATTGAATATTCACAAAATATTTGTATGATCTCCAACTATTAAAATTGGCCATAAATATGTATTTTGAATTTTCTACTTCAAACTATCTTCAAAGATAGTCCTCATCTATCCAAAGGCAAAAATATTAGCAAAAGTAAATCACATAAAGATTTGCCACCAACTTCAATTAGGACAAGATTTTAGACACTCCTCCAGCCACACCTCAGATTTCTTCACTTTCATTCTTACCCCTCCTCAGCCTCAAAAATCACAGGAATTTAATCATAAAAACTCCACTGCATAAAACTTAACATCAAAATTATTTTTGCTATATCGGATGCAGAACACTGCCACAAACAGTCCAGAATGTAAGAATTTCAATTTCGTCACATATACATTACTATTTATGAAAGGAAAGATAATCTAAAAACCTACGTTTCACTTAAAAGGAAATATAGAATAAAAAATGTAGACAGTCAAAAAAAAGTTAGTCTGCAGTCAAAAAAAAAAGAAAGAAAAGAAGGAAAAAGAGAGCAAGAAATATTTTTATTACACATGGCAAGGTTTTATCACTAAGTAAACCATATGGTTGTTGTAGTAGGATTATCTACCGAAGAACCATAGTAACAAACACATAAGCTCCAAAAAAACTTTTGCTTTGGAGCAACCTGGTGTGAGACTCTCTGGAAGATGTTTGCTTGCTTATTCAGTCCTATTTTCTGAACTGTATGCAAGAACTCTGCTGAAACTGCCTCTTATCATGAAGATAAGGGTCACAAGTCTGGAAATGACAAACATTCTAGTATTTCAGGCACTTGTTAAACAGTTTCCTGAGATTCTTGTTTTAGGGTACTGAGAAAGTCAGAAAAGAGAATCCAGTATTCCCACAAAGTCCTCTACTGGGACAGAGAGATCTTGTTTGCTTTGCTACAATTACCAACCCTCTTGCTGTTAAGATTTCTTCTGTATTTAATGGACTATGAACTTATAAGTTCCAGCCCAAGAAATTTACTTTGCTTATCACCTGTATGCAGCATTAAGCAAATCATTTGGCTCATAGTGAAGGCAGCATTTTAAAGACAAATAGACTTGCAAATTTATTTATTTRTTTTTATTTCCCCTGGTATTTCCAGATGGATTAGTCTACATTAAGGGGCTACTATTGCAGGGCTAATTTCCACAGTGCAAGTGCATGCTCTTAGCCTTGTGCACACACCTGCAATACATAGAAGCAGCAAGAGTTGAAATATACATGCACTACTTTAATCCAGCAATTTGACTAGGAACAACTGAAAAAAGAAACCGTGTTATATTCCAACTTGTGTTACTTTTTGCGTATATACAGAACAGTACAAAAAATGAAACAGCTTTTACCTTCACATTTTCCTGGTGCTGTCTGTTGACTGGTGTAGAAGCAGGAGAGATAACTGAATCATTATTTTCTGGTACATTCATTACACCAGAAATAAATTCCAACATTTGAACCTTTAATAAAAAAATGAATAAGCTTAAATCTGAAAATGAGTGAAAAGTAAAAGTAGTATTTAAAGCTAGCAAAACTACAACTTCCTCCAGTCTGCTACTGCTTTGAAGTTAGAACAGCTTCTACAAGCTACTTTTTTCGTCTTTGAAAGTAGAACTGTTTTAGGAGAGCAATGATGTACAGTATTGAAATTAATTAAAAAAAATCTTTTTAAGACATTTACTTTACACTAAACGCAGCTGCTTATCTTTGGGCAGAGTTTTAACACTCTGACACACTGTTTAGGATGAGTTTATTAATCTTCAAGTCCTCTATCTTCCATATAACAATAGCAAAAAATATTCAGCTTTCCTACTTCAGTCCTTCTGGTACTCTCTTTTATGTCTAATTATTATAAGATTGTTTGAGTATAGGGTCACGGAAGCTTTAAAGTAGGCAAGCTTGATAAAAGCCTCTGCAGGTCATCAACTCAGACTCTAGAGAAGACATTATACATGCTGCTTGGACAGCCTCTTGCAACATTTGACTGCTTTAATAATGAAAAGGTTTTTCACTCTTACTAGGGTTGGAAGGTAAACTCCGTGTTTTAATCATAATGTAAATAATAATTCATAGTATACTCGTAACTGATATTTTAGTGCAACTAATGTTCAGTGTTCAATTACTTTAATAACTTCGTATTAAAACAACCATTCAATTGAATATGATACAAATTTGGAAGATGAAAGAATAGTACTTAAGTTATGTTCACAAATGAAAAAAGTGCAGACTCTAAAAACATAGGTTCAAATAATGTGATATACTTATGCTTCTCTTAAACATATCTTAAATTAATACTTGCATTTTGATCTGATAGATCAGATTAAAAGAATTCATTATATTGCCACAGCCTAAGGATGGAAATTACACTACAATTTATCTAACCTATAGAATGGCCTTGCATACTGTGCTAGCAGAATATTTAAGTAACAAACTAACTATGAACATGGTTGACTGAGTGGAAGAACAATCTCTTTTGGTGACTGGAAAAATCTAAAATGGAACTATCTGCAGCATGGGCAGTTTTGTTTAAGAGTGTGGTAATTTTAAAGTAACAAGCATTACACACATTTTGATTGAATATCAATATTTAACCCAATCGACAACACATATGTTAATCACTAAGTGTTGTTCTACTTTTATCAAATCTCTACAGTCCATTTTTCAATTCTGTTCCTGAAATACAGGGATATTTTTAAAGAAAGCTATGAGATTCATCCATCATCCAGATAAAGAGGAAAAAAAATAAATGAATTTAAAAACCCTTTAAAAGATTTAATAATTTAAACCCTTTTTCCACTCATTTCTCTGCAGAAAACAAATATGAATAATTCAGTGTTTTTATTCACATTTTTAAAGTATCATAAATTCATATAGACATATATCAAATAACGTTGAAGAATAAACAAAATACTTACAGGGGTTATGCTTTCTTCTTCAGACACAAGCGCAAGTTCATAACACTTCTGATAAATGTCTATTAGATCTAACATATTACTGCTGGCTAAAAAGGTATCATAGGCTTTCTTTTGGTCAGCATAATTTTCAGGTTCTTCTGTGTCACCTGATAATCCCAATTTGTCATATAACAAGTATTTCCAAGTTTGCAGTACATCACTAAGTGATACTGTGAAATCTCCATGGTGCTAATATAACAGGAAAAAAAGGTAGAGGCATTGTTTTATATTCAGCATAGCTTAAAAGTAAGTTTGAAATAAGCATACCTATAGTTTTTTTAATACATTTTGAATCCTACAATCCAAATATGTAATCTAGTGTAATTTACTTGTAATCTTGCATGTAACTGAAGCTTTTCTACTGTCTTGGCGTTACCATTGTCTTTTGGAATGTGTAGTCTTTGATACTGATCTTTAAATAACAGGTTCATATATTGAACTTTACTCATGAGAAAATACATATTGACTTCAATACGACTAATGCATACCTGAAGTTAAGTATTTGCAGAAATATTTTTCAGCTTGGATGGCATTTGGTAACCCAGAGACAGCAAATATATCTCTATTAACCTGTTTCAAGTAGTACTTCTGGGAAAACATGTTCCATTACAAAAAAGAGTTTTTCCTACGTGAATATAATTATATTTTAGTATGAGGTAATTAGTATTGCATATATCCAACAAATACTGTAGACCAATAAAATGAAAAGTTCTATCAACATATATCTAATTATATACCTTATCAGTACCATAGCCGCATATATAGCATATGCCGCAAACTTAATATGTAGTTTCTGGTCCATTTTCCCTGCCAAAATGATTGCATTATATTCCTTTATAACTCCTACCACACTCACTTCAGAAAGGAAAAAGAATTACTGCTTGGTAGTAAATAAGGATCTTAAAGCAACAAGAACAAAAAAATCTGACAACCTTGAGAGGAAAGTTCTATTGATATTTGGTAGGCAGGAGAGAGGGAAAAAAAAAAAAAAGGCATCAATAGGAAGACCTAAAAATCATGCTGAATTTGCATATCAGTTTATCATACATTTTCAAAATGCTTATCTTAAAATAGTTGACAAACGCCTCTGCTATTTAACATGTAAAAGTTTGTCATGCAATTATGACTAAACATAATCTATAATGCTGTATGTATTCTTCCTTAGGAAGCAGAAATATGTAAAGAACTGAAGTTGTTAGAAATGGATTGGCTAGGGGGCTAGAAGCATTATCTCAGGGCAGAATGGCAAAGTAAGGTGAAGCAACTATAGCAGACGGGAACACATAGCAGAGTATGATTCAAAGAAGTTTAAAGCAAAATAAGCAAGGGAGCCGTGTGATTTGGGCCACAACTTGAGTAATGCGTTACTAAAAAAAGTGGGAAGCAAGTGAGGTACAAGCAGCTACCTCACCAAGGTGCAAGAAGAAAAGAACTTTATTGTTATACTTCAAGAAAGTATAGCCCTATTTTGCTCCTTAAATTGTCCTTTCTTCTTCTTTTTTTTTTTTTAACCAAATGATTCACAATTGAGAGTGGAGAGAGGAAAGTGGAAAAAATTAAAAAAATCACCTCACTGAACATCAGACACTAAGTTTTCCAGTTCTGGGATAGGCAGTGTCCACAAGAAACTGAAATACATCTGAACCTGTCCCTTGTTGCTGTCAGTAGAAGAGATAGATGTGATGTCAAAATTAAAAGGCTGTCACACTGAGGAAGTCAGAAACCCAATTTCTCTAAGCTATATACAGCAGTAGGCCGCAAGGGAGAAGGAGAGGAGAAGGGGAGGGGGCAGGAAAAGCAGCTGTTTTTCTGACTTTGTTCTGAAACAAATTCCTTCAGGAGTACCAAATTAAAATACTATTTTAATACAATCTCTGTAGATCCTTGGTCATATGAGGAAACATTTTGATTACTACTGCAAAAATATTTTAAATCCAAATAAAAATGCACTCTAGATATCAACTTYCATGATCAGATGACTAAGTGCTCACTGTGACAGTGTATTCTACCACTAACACAGTCAATTGTCAAGAGTCTGTGGTTTAAGGAGAGGAGAAAACGACGTAGTGTTTCGCAATAAGCATTAGTCAAATGTTCAATGCTTTTATTCCATGATAGACAACAGAAGGATTGAGTTTCATAGGCATAGAGATAGCAAAGCATTTTAAAGCCTTGACTATTCTTTTTATTTTGGACGTACTGCCAACTTTCTAGAGCTAACTCTATTACAAAGCAGCTTGCCCTTTGCTAAAAAAGTTGTTCCAAAAGAGTCCTATGTATTTTTGAGTACCATGTCCTATCCTAGCAAATAGGAGGTCACTAATTACTTTCAAGACTTCAGTGTTTAACCAGCATCCAGGAGTTGCCTCTAGCTCTATTTTTTCAGGCATGGTTCTAGACTGCAGTATTCATGTTTGGCACTGTTCTTGACTTGGGAGATTCTACAGTCCAGCAATCTTTACCAAGTCCTACTGAGCSCTGCTTACATGCATATGCTGTCTGATGAGTAACAGGAGGGTTCCCAAACTGTGGAATATTAAGAGCACTAAAGTAGGATAAAACATATTTTGGAATAAGTTTCCAATTCCAGTGAGAGCTGATAGCACTGCAGGAAGGTTTAGAAGCTGGCTTACAAATGCAAGGGCATCTAACATTTGTTACATTGTTATCTGCCAGAACCAAAGCCAGTGAAATTCTGGGCCAAGAACTCCGCATTAAAAAAACTTTTTTAGGCAGAGGGAGRGCAAGTGGGAAAAGCAAAAAGCATCCAGGCCAAGTAGAGGAGAGGGATGGAGTAACACTGTACTGTTCAAGGAGAACTRGAAGCTAAACTATGTATGGAGCAGTAAAACAGTAAATACTTGCAAAACATTTAGAAAGTAAAAAATTTGCCCAGCTAAGCAATAAACTCTACTATTCCCAATAGTGTTCTTAGTTTGTGTTGAAATCAACACTATCAACTTTTCTGATAATAAAAATAAGATAGGAATTTTAGGATCCTCTCCTTAGTATCAAAAAAATCTTGTTTCCTGTCCCAACCCACAAAAGGGAAATCTAAAATATAACAGAGGGGTTGGGGAGTTGAAATTCTATTGACAGGCCAGGCAGGCATGTGCTTAAAGATTTAAGTGGAGGAAGCAGTGACAGCAGTGACAGTGATATCCACAGCACAGGAATACAAGAAGCATTATCTCAACTATTTATTATTTGGTCTCACATGATAYGGCAAAGACAGCAAAACAGTTTCAAGAAATATTCATGGCTTCAGTCTTTGAATCATTGAAACRGCATCTCTCGTAAGCATTACTGTAAGATGTTGCAAGCAAAATATCAACAGTTGGTAGCATTCTCATATTACAAAAACACAGACATACCATAGTTTAAAGGACCAATGCTGTAAAACAACTTTGTGTTATTTATTTGCCATACAGAATCTAGAAGGCTTGGGAAAACATTTGNAAAAAAAAAAAAAAAAAAAAAAAAAAAAAAAAAAAGAGCTGATTTTGAGCAAAACTGCTTATTCTTCAGACAATATACCAAATGCACTCATGGAATCACAGGGCCCACACACCAAAATTGATTTCACACAGAATCAGTAAGACACATACACTAGTGGAGAGAGATGGAGAACATATTTATAAGAACACTACACTCCTTTTCTCCAATCTGATAGCCCTAACCCCAGAAAACAGGAATTACAAAACATTTAAAAAGTCTAGGAAGTCAAGTTCACATACTTACTGAGGTTGGAAAAGAAAGGAGGAAAGTGGTTTAAGGTAGCTCTCTGAGGAAGGAAAGTGTTAATTTATAGTCTGCTAGGGAAAGAAATAATAATGTACCATAAGAGATCATTTTTATCAAATCTGTTATTTTTGGCATGCAACAGAATAACACTTTAATGTACCAGAACAGTCTTTTGAAAGTGTTTAGTAGTTTTCTCTTTAGAATCAAAGATATCAAATATAGCAATTACCTCTGCAGGTCATTGTGTATTCCAATTTATCAGTTCTCTGTGCGAGTTCAGTTTGACACACAATCATTTTCTAGTTTTAGCTACCATTGATATTATAAGGGCATGGGGATCCTGGCTGAAACATTCTGGGAAACACAAACATAGAATCCTGGACTTATAATGTTTATGTAGCAGTTAGTGTTTACAACAGAGTGAGGGGGTTGGCCAGTTTTATATTGATTGTTCATACAAGGATGTGTCTGTTTTAGACTGCATTTTAGACTAAGGAGGTTTTTCTATGATGAATTCACTTGTTTCACGCGTCCACTCCGTAGTTTGATGTCTTGTGCACATACGGAGAATGTAACACACTTCCTAGAAGTACTAATTACACTCACAGCCTACACATCAAGGTGTTCARGAAAGAAGGCAGCGAACACACTGCCACAAATACTACTGGAGCTACCCCTGACTTGCCTTACATTCACTCATCTCACGTCTGGCCCATAGATTTTTAGCAAAAACACAAAAGAGAGAGCCTTGAAATGGGCAATGGGCCAAATGAATTTTCCTGATGAGATAAATGCATCCAAAACTGCCATAGTTCTCCCACTCTGATCTACCACAGAGAACACATAATTGACGGAAATGAAGTTATATGACCAAGCAAAAAATAGTAGTATTTAACATTCAAGTTTAGAAATCAAGTATATGCTTCCAAACACTTCCCTTCTCCCATCTTACATTTGTCCTCTTCCAAAATATGATTAAACAAGGTGCCTAACCTTATTAATTTTAGTATCTTGCTAACCCTCAGTTAAAATAAAATTGAAGTGTCCAACATCACTGATGATTGCAAAAAGCAAAAAGAGTAGTGAATGAACCAACTCTGAGTCACACTATTCACCGATTCCATACCGAAAGAACACCAACCTGCTTATTAACTTCAGCCATGGACAGCTGCAATACCATCAGCATGCAATCTGCTCCACATACTGTAGTTCTTTCCGAGTTTGAAAATAAGGGCCATTGTCTTCTGAAACACTTGATCAAGTTTAAAATCTTCTGCTGGAGAATAATCATTTTCTAGAGCAGAATATAGAGAATTAAGATAAATGAAAATGAACATAATTTTGCAAGTAAGGCTTACAATATGTGCTTATATATGACAAATCTGTGCTTATGTATACGAGATGTCTCCATGAACACCTCATGACCCCTTGCACATTGTGCTAACCTAAAAGAATTGCCACACACAACATGGTCTTTGCCTTTGAGAGTAGACAACCTAAGTGCCCCAGGGAGAGATACAAACTTCACTAGAGAATCTGCTTTCTGCCCTATCTGCATCACACTGTCGTGTCAGAACAATCTCTATCGATATGCTTTAAACCAAGAAACATGAGATTTAGCAGTGTTTCCCAAAATTACTGTGAAAGACACTAAAAAATACTTTTGTTGCTATATTTAAAAAAAACTTTTGCTTTTTAATCTCCAAAATGAGTCATGATCTCTCTTATTTCCTTTAGGGATGAGTTCAGTATCAATTCGGTATTTGTCTATAGGGTGCTCAGGTCTTTCCCAGACTTTGTTTAAAATAAAATACAACCTGGGACTCCAGCTGCCTTTAAATTGGCTCTTCTTCTTTGAGAGGCAGTATCCACTACCATATACAGCACTAGTATATATAGAAGGGTCATTTACTTATACAGCACAAAACTATCCTTTCTTCTTATTGTATTACACCTTGTTCACACATAAAACACTGCCTTTTTTTTTTTTAAATTAATATGAACATGAAGAAAAAGCAGGCATAGGAGAGAAGGGAGGAAAACAGCAAACTTCTCATAACAAACAATACAGCATCATGAGCTGCAATAATTTGTTTTCCAAGGTGTTTGGCAGGAGGGAGGGTGAAAATGACATACTTTATTTTATTTCTGTGGATGCGAAGCAGCCAGGTGGGAAACGGGAGAGCCCTCAGGCAAGCAGGTGCCCAGCTGACACAGGGTAGGCAATCTCTCCCAGGGTGTTTCTCAACCTTTTCCCTCCCCACCATCACCCAAACTGAGAGATGCCCAAGGAACAAGCAGAGTGACCCCGAGCAAGCACCTCGAACAAGCTAYAAACAAACAAACCAAATCCCTGCGGAGCAAGTCTTATCCTATCACCATTCCCATCGCCGCCCCCTCCCAGCCGGAGGGCCCTGGCCGCCCCTCACCRTGACGCGGGCCACCCGCTCCTTGCCGGGAGCGCGGCCCCCGGGGCTTTGCAGCCCCTCTCCGCTCCCTGCCCGCCCGGCGGGGTCCCCCTGCGCTGCTAGCGGCGGCGGCTACCTGCGTGACTAGGAGGGGCCGGCGCCGCCGCAGSCCGTAACGGCCGTCCCTGGCGGTTTAAATTTAAACCCTCCGCAGCGGCCCAATCGGGGCGCGCGCCGCTCACCCGGAAGCAGAGGCCGCCGGTACCGGCGCTGGCTGGGAGGTGCTGCCGGGCGCTCTGCGGCGCGGAGGTGTGTGGGGGCCGCGGCGCCGGCGGCGGGCGGGCGGGCGGCGAGCACCGGCCCGGCCGCTGAGGCTGCGCTCCGGAGAGGCCCGGGGGCGCTGAGGGTGGAAGGGGCCGCCGCGGGTCGGCCGGGCCAACCCCCTGCTCGGGCCGGGTACCCGGAGCATGGGGCACAGGGCGGCATCCAGACCGGTTTGGGAGACCTCCAAGGAAAGAGGCTGCACAGCCTCCCTGGCAGCCTGGTCCGGGAACCTGACTGGCCTGAAAACTGCTTCGTTAAAGCAGTAAATTATAGACAAGTAGACAAGYGTTTTATTTTTCTCTCTGACTGGAGGCTTTTTCTGCTAGGAGGAAGTTCAGAGGCTCAGTCTGCAGTTGGGTTGGCCTAAGCCGTGGAACTGTGTTTTAACGTTATGCGTGACAGTGTGAAGGATTACAGTTGGGCAGCTCTGCCTTTAGTTAGGCACACACAGTGTCCTTTAAGGAGATGCACCAGAGAACAAAATCTGAAGGCAGCGAGGCATCATTTGTTGTCTCTGAGTTGAAAACTGAGCAGTTCTCTGTGTGACTTGTCTGCTATGTGCAGTGAYAATAATGCCAATGATGACACAAAATTTGCCATTATTGCTGAAGCCAGTAGACACAGATTTGAATACAAGTGGGTTAGTACATCTCTTGATTRATGGAATTACATGTAAAATCTAAATACAGTGAGCTTAAGTACTGCTTTTGTATTCTTTTAAAAAGTGGTGTTATAGCAAAACTTCATTTGCACCAAATACTTTCTCTTTACATAAATGTTTATGTTTGCCTATTCAAACCTTAACATATGTGTATATATGTCTTCATTTCATAGAAGGCRTCAATACTTTGATTTAGTCCATATGAAAATGAAGCAAGATTCKGCTAGGAACGCTGCATACACTGTGGATTGTGAAGACTATGTGCACGTCGTAAAATTCAATCCATTTGATAGTGGAGACTCGTGTGCCCTAATTGCATATGGTGGCAATAATTACGTCGTTGTGGGAACTTGCAGATTTCAGGTGAGTTTGTTATCAGTGAGATTTTTATTAGTTGCTTCCTGAAACTTACTYTTCCAGTTGCTTTTTGTCTTATACACAAAGACCCCAGCTGCTCATCTCTTTCCACCCACTTCCTTTTATCAGGCAGTCTGTTACCTTATATATATGTGTGTATATATATAGATATCCTATAAATCTATATATACACACACACAAAATACATGTTTTCTCAGAGAAGTATTCTACACTCATTAAGGTAACAGATTTATACAGATTGCTGTATATATCCAGGTTGTATATACAACATACAAACACATATATGTATTTTATACAAGTTGGTGTTATAATTGGATGATGAACAGAACACAGAGAGGTTACCATTCTGTTGGTGCAAAGTATTTGAGTAGGTGGCAATGAAACAGTAGTGAGCAATCCCATCTGTATTATGGCTTGGAAATGTTGCTGATTGCTGTCTGGTGCAGACTGTACTTTTTTAACCACAATCAACTCCTTATGTGCACACTTCATGTTATTCTCTGAATATATGCTATTAAATTTTAACTCTCTTCTAAGACTTTCAGTTTACCTGAAAAGCAGTGAAGATTATGATTGTTTGGAAGACATAGTTAAGATAGCTATGTCATTTTTTGGTTTAAGGAATGACTATAAAAAGTAGTTACTTAGAATATTTAAATTCTCTGACTTGTCTTCTCTGGCATGTGCTGTAGTCTGAGACCAGCAATCATTCCATGCTATTTTTTAAAAGTATTTACATAAAAAGACAATATTTACTTCACAGTGAAAACTTGGAACATTTTGAAGGAATTGCAAAAAACAAAGATTGTAAGTCTAGCTTAAAAGCCTTTCAATTTCAAGTCAGTCTGAATTGTTAGCAATAACAAAGATGCTGTTTTGAATTAACTAACTTTAATATATCTTGTAGGAAGAAGATGCTGAAGTGGAAGGGATGCAGTATAAAACACTAAGAACATTTCACCATGGAATTCGAGTTGATGCCATAGCATGGAGTCCAGAAACTCGACTTGATGCTTTACCTCCYCAGTTAAGGTATTCGAACTAGATGAATAGACAGTAGATCCTGACCTCTTACCTGTTTGCCCTACTTTCTTGATGTTGAATTAAATGTAAAGCTTTTGACTGAAAGCTAGCTCTGTAGAAATCACTTGCCTGGTCGGGCTAATATTTAGGTGTCTTAAAACACTAGTAACAAGGTGAAATTAACTCCAAGTATGTTTCAGTGGCAGATATGAGGCTTTTCAGTTAACTAATAATTRGTTTAGATTTAGTTTTGTTAAAAAGCCTTGTATTTCTTAAAGTATTCTTGCCGTTCATACGTCCTGTGCCACAGATAAGCTGTCATTATAATTTTCAATGCTTGCTACCCAACAATGATATAAATCAAAAGATAAATTAGAAATTATATCAAAATATTAATTTCCTCTTGAATATGACTTTTCATCTTGAACTTTATGTGGAAATCTGGTAAAGAGGTTACTGTATCAATGTTAGTTGACAAAGGAGCTTTTCTGTGTGCAATGATTCTAGATTTTGTACTGCAGCTTCTGATAAGAAGTTAAGGCTATTCACTTCAGATCTGCAGGACAAGAATGAATATAAGGTAAGGTGATTTTGAGGTATTTAAATAACACTTGTTGCTTATTCTTTTACTGTTTACGTTTAGCAATTAAATTGTTTATAAATTTCTTCACTCTTCAATGGAATGTAATCTTACTGCCTCTCTGTCTCATTTCACCTAATGTCCTGCATGAGATGGATGCTGCAGTGTTGCAAATCCTGTATCTATCATATMCATGTGTTGTATATATGCCTCTGCCTTTAAAAATGGAAATGAAGTTATTAATCCGTTAATTGTGATTTGATAATGTGTGATACTAAAACAATAATGAACCCTACATGTCACTTATGCATACTGGTAATGTATGTGTATGCATATATAAATATAGATTTTTTTTTTTTGAAAATGTTTTCTTTGTTTATTGCATGCATTCCCTTATCCATTTCCTTTTTCCATGCTTGATCCACCATCTCTCCTGGCTTTGTCACTCAGACAGTGGAGTAACTAACATAGTTTTAAACAGCTTTGGCACTAATATGAAAATATTTCTGTATGCTTTTAAAGTTGTGTTCTTATGAATTTAAATTGCTTCTTACCATGGTGATCTATTTATATGTATTTATATAATATGCATGACTCTCTTTTGATATTGCAGACCGTAGGTTTTAGTAGGCACTTCTGGATTACACGTTTTAAAAAGTTAAACAAGATACTTAATATCCTTAATTTGTCTGTTGCAATTTGAGAAATTTATATTATTACTATCTGTAAGCTTACAAAAGAAAAGCAATGAACAGAGTCATTAATGCTGTTGCAGGAGCTGGTTGGCTAACGAGTGGGAGTAACRTGCAAGAACTTGATAGTAAAGGCTCATGAAGAGTCCAGTTGATTTTACCAGACATTCTATGTGAAGTCTTTGACTTCAGTCATGATGATGCTATGGATGTTGTTTTGCTGAAAAGCTGTTAATTATGTTTATTAGGTATGTTTATGATCACTTATTAATGATTCACAGAATTCACAGAATATTTAAGGTTGGAAGGGACCTCTACAGATCATCTAGTCCAACCTTCCTGCTCAAGCAGGCACACCTACAGCATGTGGCACAGGGTGGCATCCAGGCGG